GGCCCCCGTCCGCCCCCCCCCGCCCCTGCCGCCGTGCCCAGCGGAACAGGGGCACACGCTTCTCGCTTTCTGCGGAGGTCCCGCGGGCCCCGCCGCCTTCTCTGTTCGCGGGCGCCTCACCGGCCTCTGGCGGCTGTGGCGACCCCTCACCTCATGGGGACAGGTCCCGTTGTCCCCTCGCTGCCTGGGGCAGGCCTGTCCGAGACCCGTTTTCCCCTTACCGGGATTGGCCGGTGCCTCCCTCATCCCCCTTCCTTCTCTGGAATAGGCAATTCCCAAGTAGCAGCTAGTTGAGGCTCCTCTGGAGATGACGGCCCGTGGGTCTAGCGGGCTCCCGAGCCTCCTGCCCGTGCCCTGTGCACGCACTGGCGCGTTGCGTCCGCTCCCGAATGTGTGCAGCTCTGCGAGCACTTTCCATTTTCTAAATAGTGTTTTTCTCTCCTGAATGACCTGAGCCCTCGCAGCCCCATCATGGTGTGTGTTTGTGTGTCCTCCTCATCCTCCCTTCCTCCGTTCATTTAGAGCCTGTGATTGTGTCTGCCTTGGTAGTGTTGTGGCTCATCGCTGGAGGGGGGCTATTTAGACAAAGTGATTGTCTAAGTGGCTGAAGGGAGTAGGAAGATTTCCTTTGAAGTAAGAGCCAAATGGGCTGCGTTATGAGTAGCCCCTGCACTCATGGGCCTGCCCGTTCTGGGCCTTGTGTCGGTGCCCTGTCTAAACATCATCCCCTTGGAGGTGCAGCTGTGTGAGAGTAGTCTACCTGTGCAGGGCATTTAAATAGCTTACCTGAGCCAGCAGGAAAGCTCATGGATACTTATGTATGTGTTTCATGGCTTCTTATCCATAAATTAAAAATACAAAAAAAAAAGTTAAAAATAAAAAAAAATAATAAAAAAATGAGAGTATGGAATAGAATCCATGCACAAGCAATTAATGTGTCCAAAACAGCTCTAGCTATTATAGAGGAAAGGTTAATGTTCCTTTATCACTTCTTGAATTGTAGCACTCAAATACTCTTGGACTATGCACTTCAAAAATGTAATGGTGATTACAGATGTGGGATTGAGAACTGTGGAGTCTTAATTTTCTTTATCAGCAGAGCTGATTTAGCAGCTTTCTTTATTAGCAGAGCTTTATTGCACTGCAAGTGTGAAGCGTGTCTATAACCTATCTCCTAAAGATAGCAGCTAGTGGTGGCCACTGTTTGTTATAGTGATGGTCCTTCTTGTATGAATACAGTTTAACTAAAGTTAGACTGACGCTGTCTAATTTTGTATAGGAATCCCAATGGGATAATGTTTTGTGTAGACAACTCAACCTAGCTTGGATTGGGGGTAACTGATGGCTTGAAGAGGTGTGCATGATGCTACCTTAAAGCTGTTATGAGAAGTTCTCTAAGAAATAAGTGCTTTATTCCTACAGAAGGACAGAGCTGGCTGGTAGAAGTTACTGACACTGATGAGGTAGCTTGATTTACATGCACAGTGCAGTTCTGGATGAGGAGATTAATTCACAGAAACTACCTTATAATCAAATAGGTTTCTTTTTGAGCCCTGGTATCTTCATTTGCAGTATCTGCTATGATTAAAAATATCTCCTTCAGTAAAGGAATGAGCTAATAGCTTTTGACTGAAATATTTCTCTATAGTTTTACATGGGAAAGTGTACCAAAACATCATAGCATTTTATCATTTGGTCATGAAGACTACATGAAGTTATTTTAATCAGCTAAAGATAGGAAGTCCTGTGATAAATCATGTACTTATTATTTTTATGATCCCATGGTAAGTGGGTTCTTCTTTTAACTCACTTCACAGAGTAGATGTACAATATCAGATAATGATTAGTAGAGAGTTCTTTTTTTATGATGTCAACTTTGACTCTGAAAGGTTCATAGAAAATAGAAGAAATGGAAAAAAATGGAAGGTGTTATGAGTATCTTAATATCCTATTATGTCTCCTTTGAAAACAGCCAAAAATTTTATCCAGCAAACAGTTGAAGACTTGCTTTAGCTGACCTGGGTGTGAAAGTTTTGTATCCTTCATTTATATATTAAAAGGAACAACAGTGTTTAGACAAATCATCCTAATTCCACAAAAGAAGTCATTGCATAAATCTTGACACATTTTTTTTCCCTTCTCTTATCTCCTAGGAATGGGTCTGCTATCAGAAGATGCAGTACACTAGATGTGGTGCTTGGGACAGTATTAGTCATGGCATCAGAACTATGTAAAACAATCTCTGAGGCAAAGCTGGAAAAGCACAAGAACTTGTTCTTAAATTACCGAAATCTACATCACTTTCCTTTGGAGTTACTGAAAGATGAGGGGCTGCAGTACTTGGAGAGACTTTATATGAAAAGAAATTCCCTGACCACATTGGTACGACAACCTCTTTATTGTAATATTTGCTCCCTGTAAACCTCTTATACTCTGTTAATGGTTATACTGGTTATACTTTTGAAGCTCTGTTTTTTTTTTTTTTAATTTAATTTTGTTTTGTTTTTAACTGTTAAAAATTTTGCTCGCAATCTCAGTGGTCAGGCCTTCCTACTGTTAGGAAATACTGTGTAGTCTAGTCTGCATTCTTTCATTAGACTAAACAATATTTACCTTAGCGTGTGCCAAGTCAGTGTCAACCCCACAGACTAATTCAAAGCTAGCTGACGATATGCCTATGAAAGCTTGTATTTGTGGTGAGGTGCCACTGATAACCTGAGCAAACCTAATTCCAGGGATGCTTCTGTCCTTTTTCCCTGCCCCTTTCCCTTCCTCCTCCCTGTTGCTTCCTTTCCATGAACAGAACAAATTCTCAAGCTGAATGAATGTTGTGACTTTGGAATTCAGTAGTCTTAATTTTGTCAGGAACTACTAAAACTATGTAGATCAAAAGCTTTTAAAAGCTTTTAAGTGGGCTCCAGTCTCCATTTTTTTTTCTTTAGGTTCTTTTAGAGTGAAAGAGGGGAAAGTTAATAGTCAGGACAAAGGAGCTGGAGGGCCTGGATATTTAAAATTGATCAAAATGGTCTATTTCTTAGTCCTTCCTAGCAGTAAGCCTAGTACTCCAGTTTAAAGAGTCATTTTTAAAGTTCTAACAGTAATGCAATAGAATGCTGTAATGAAGGTTTCACTTTGTGGAGTGAAAGTTGGAAGGATTCTGAAGCTTTTGTACATTTTCTTAAATGAGTCACTTGAGGTTGTGTTTACTGTAGAAAATTATTTTGGCATACTTTGACCAAGTCTTTGACCTAATGATTTGATAGGCACACAGGATGGTTACAAATTAAAAATGACTTAAAACTTATGGAAGTGTAGCCAGCTTAGGTTTTGCACTCTTTGAAATAGAGTGGTGAGTAGTGTTAGACTCATGACATTTGACTACTCAAAAGATGGAACAGTGATATGGAAAGTTTGCATATCTGTTTTCTGTATGTCTGTGCTAAAGCCTGACTTTTTTTTTCTTAAAGCAATTATCAGAAGCCAAAATATTATCAGTAAAATATAGTAAAATATCGTTCTATTTTCAGTATCAATGCTACCAGTCCATAGATGTGAAATAAGGTTTAATTCTTAATAATAAGGTTTAATTTACAAATGAGTTCCGTGCAGAGGGAGGCAGGTCTGATCTGATAATCCTCAGAATTGTTGTTGAGTCATGGGAGGGTAGAACTGAAAGAGTGAAATGTAGATAATGCTTAGACGAGATGACTTGCAAACACTTTGAAGCAGAGAATTAGCATTCAAAGAGATGTGGGTAACTTCGTCATAATCTAACTTGGTGGAATCTCATTCATAGCACTGTTTCTAGGAATGAGACATGTCAAACTGGATATAAGTAACTAAGCATCTGTTCTGCAGAATAGAGATGGGAAGATGTAGTAGACCAAGTTAGAGCAAGTGGGCAGAATGCTATGAAGAAGACAGGTATTTTTGGAGGGGGGACATAGAGTGGTTAACAATCTTTGTTTTAAGTTCCTGGAAGTAATTGTTGGTTACTGTTAAAACATAAGCTGGGGTGGGATTTGCAGTCTGGAGTTCCATTTTGTATATACATTAGGGAGGAAACCTTTGCAGTCCTTTCACTGGAGGCTTTTGCATGAGAAATTGTACAGGTGTCTTTGAGGGGTGATGCTGCAACAGAAGGTGTTATGGAGGATGTAGTTTTAATGTCTTTGAGCCTTGTGCTGCTTTGATTCCATGCATTAGCTCATCAATTAATTCTTTAAAGGGTATATAAATTATTAGCAATCATAAAAATAAATCTGAACCATATTTCTTTAAAATCAAGTTAAGTGATACTTTCTGGCTTTTGAAAAATCCTGAGTGAATCGATTTTTGTTTTTTGCTCTTCTAAAGTTATTCCAATACTTGATAGATGACTGCTTCTATTAATATATCTGACCATAAGCACACTGTTAGGCTTTATATATATATACCTTACCTAAGAATAAATTTTAGTATTGTCCTCAATTACAGGAGGGAAGTGATAGAGAAGGATCAGGTAATGAGTGGATCAGGGAACTCTATAAACCACCTGTAGCCCAATATGCAGTCTTCCACCCTCTTCTTGTTTAATGTTTGACTAATGGCATTAGCTTTCCAGTAATCCCATTTCTTCATTTAAAAACAAAACAAGTTTGCTGTGATGGCAGGGTCAGAACTATGTTTTAGCCATATCAAAGAATGGTTGTTTACAACTTAACTCAGAACATGTCTTGCTATCCAGCTGAGACAACTCAGCATGTTTGCTTTGTTAAAAATGACATGTGGGCGTGAGCAGGAAGGAATCTTCTTCAAATGGACAGAAGTGATGATTTATTTATAACCATTATTTGTACTCCTGTCACCAAAAGAGACTGGAGTTTGTATGTGAGTGACTTCTACTTTTCAATAGATGGATAATGTATTGTTTTTGATCTTAATTTCATTATATATTGTTGTATTAGAAAAATTCATCTCAAACGCGTTCTTATTGTACTCCGAGATGAGCAGCCTTTCTATTACGGGTTACTTATTCTCTCTCAGGTTCTTTTATGATATGAAACAGTCAAAAAATAAGAGTACAAAATTTACGTGTAAGATAGAAATAATTTGTGGGTGTCTCAGATTATCTTTTTTACTATAACTTTTTTGCTCTAATGAGATTTTCTTTCAACTCCCTTTTACTTTCAAATTAGAAAGCTGAATTGCTGTGCTCAAGCTATTTGCATACTCTGTATATTTCCCAGCATAAGCTTTTGCATTTAATCAAATTAAACTTTGTGCTGTTGAGAGAAGATAAATGTACTGTAACAAGCCTTCCAGTAGGTGGCAACACCTGCTTAGATATAGCTTGTTTCCTGAGAATTGACATCAGCTGATTCATTTGCTATGGAGTCATTTGCTGCTCCCTAGTTAAGAACTTTTTTTTTTTTTTTTTTTTTTTTTTTTTGGTATTCAGATCTAGGATGTGGAATCTTGGTTACGTAGGAGTAATATGATACTACTTGTTCAGGCTAGCTTGTTCGGGCCTTCTCCACAATAAATCTGTAGCCACAAAGTTAAATATTTTAGATGAAAATGCATCTTAAGTAATGGTGGAAAATGCTAAATTTTTCGTGGAAGTTGACCATGTTATTGAGCTATTTTTATTCTTTGTGTGTGTGTGTGTGTGTTTGATAATATGTATGTTAAACAGTTAAGAAATAGATATGTTTTACTGAAAAAGTCCATCTTTAAAGTAAGCAGTGAAACGTAAGCTTGACAAACTTCCAGTATGATTACCACCATGACATTTGGCACTCCTCAAGCCAGTTCTGTAGTATTTGTTCATGGCTAAAAATGCTAGCTACGGATCGGTTAAGAGATAGAAAGTTATGTTCATATTAATATGCAGATAAGGAAATCTAGCTTCATGGATTCAGTGCTTGTGGTTTAGTGGTAACTGACTAAGCTGCACAAACGTTCCAGGTCATTTCCCAATTTACTAGCAGTGCAAAATAAAACAAGTTATATAGGTAGACATCTTGGATACTTCCTGTTCCACTGTAGATCTCTCAGGAGCTTCTTAGCAATCTCTCTGCTTTTACTAACTCAATTATTTTAATATATTTTCAAAAGTAAGGTCTTGGTAATCCATATTTTCGACTTCAAAAGACTGACTGCCATTTGCTTGAGGACACAATAATGCCATTTCCAGGCTGTAGTTCAGTTGCAGTAATGAATTGCTTACCCTTGGTATATCCCAGATTGCGCAGATGGAGAGTGTGTGGGGATTTGCAAGTGGGCCCTTGTGTACAGGTTTCTTGTGGCAGTTTTTTTGTTTCTATCTGCTAACATGTTTTAGTATGGTTATTAAAATGAGTTGGGTACAGAATACAATGCGTCTGCTTTTTGTTTTTAAACCTAAAAAATCTCTAACTCTTCTTTCAGCCAGAAAACCTTGCACAGAAGCTTCCAAACCTCGTGGAATTGTGAGTTTGTGTAGGAGTTCTAATATATTTTTATTATGCTGATACATCTTGCCTTAAAGTAATTTAATAATGTATTGCTAGCATATATATACCTCTTAAGAGTGAAGGCTTTTCTTGAAGGGTCAAAAATGGTCATTCTTGTGGTTTTGTTTGTTTGTTTTGTGTGTGTGTGTGTATATTTCCTTTTTCAAGGATGATCCAGACATTCAGTCTCAATTTTTTTTTTAATTCCTCATTTATTGTTTAACAACAACTCCTTTACAAGTGCCTACACTGTTTAGGAAAAAGAACTTTCCTTGTAAGTCCTGTGTGCGCTGCTGTCACACTCATCACCTTGTCCTCTTGTCACTGGAACCTCCCAACAGTGCGGTTGGATGGATGCAGCAGAGCCTGAGTAACTAGTTACTGCCTGCAGCCCATCCCTGTTTGCTTTCCATCCTTGCTACTAGTGATATGATTTCAGTCCTGCTGATTGTAATGGTAGTTTTTTGGAATCAAGTCAGAGATTTTCAAATAGGAGCAGGAATTGGAAAGCAGGGGTAGTAACCATTTAAGATTGTTTATTCAATCTTGCCCAAAGAATGGGATCACATGAATTGTGTTGTTTTTAGCAAATAATTTTGAGTTGTAGACTCCTGAGCCAGTGTTTTCCTCTTTTCTGTTTTCTGTACTAAAGCTCTGATTTGCCTGTACAGTAGCATTGCTTTTTTTTAGCACTACTTTTTTAGTTTTAGTTGAAGACCATTAATTTGTTTATATAATAGAGTATTCCAGACAAGGAGGTACATATCTGAGTAGTGTAATACATTCAGCTGCCTGATCTTGTACTCTTAATTTGGCCCTTGAAACTGCACCTTTCTGATACGAGCGACCACAAGTTAATAGAACTGTTTTGTAGGTCACTGCAGTTTCTGACTTGCTTGAGAGACAGTCTTGTCTCATTATGACTGAATATTGAGAATCTGCGTATGCTGTGAAGCACTAAAATACTCTCATGCTCAATATAGTTAGTATTGGATGATCTGCCATGGGTCATCATCAGGAAATACTGATATTATCTGATGGCATCTTTAGGAAAACCTACCTAAAATTACAGGTTCTTAAAATAATCCTTTCCTAACACTGTACTGTAGGAGTCAGGAGGGGTTCAGACTGCCATTACCCCATACATTCTGGTGGTCTGGAGAGAATTGCACTTGTTGTGTGATTCAGGTAGTTATAATAGTGCAAGTCAATTTTCGATCAGAGAAATAGCTATTTTGTTGACAAAGAACTGAAGAAACAGTACAAAACAAATAATTTTGAGGAGCATTTCATTACAGTAGTTCTAACCTTTGAAAGACGGCCTTATTTTTTTGACAAATGAAAATCATCATCCCTTACCATGTTTTTTTTAAAAAACTTCACTAGGTTCTGCATTTCTTTGCATATGGTGTCCCTCAACCTTATATATAAATCCTTGAAATATGCATATTTTTAGTCTGTAAATATGAAATATATACATATGTTTCTGTCTATAGTATAGTTCACAACAATTTTCAGTGGCTGTAGCTGAAAAGAATAGGAAAATAGGAGTTCTACAAACATATCAACTGTACTTGTGTTTACTACCCTTTTAATAATGCTTTGACTTTATCTGCATTTTTAAAAGAAAAAGATATCACCGTAGTTACAAGTTGTTGAAATGTTCTTTTCCTTGCTTTGCTTCCACCTCCCCAAAAAGTTTCATGCTTTTGGAAATACCATTTAAGTAGATTGGAAAAGATCTGGAAAAATAATTTCTATGTGCAATTAAACAACTGTGCATTTGGTACTCAGTGTTCCTTTACAAATACATGTCAATATTAGTCCTTGTTGCAAATAAATGAATAACAGGAACCAAATTTTCAATTTCAGTCATGAAAGCTGTGAGAAAGATATTTTTTTTCAATGTCAATAGTACTGCTCAATGTGCCCCACTAGAGGGTGCTGAATATTCTTAGTGAAAGATAGGGCTCCATCAGTACTTACTAATGATTTTGGATGTGACTGGATTTTCCTTTTCAAAAATGTGTTCTAGTTTTAAAATAATCCAATTTCAGTGAGTAGATCATGTGTTTTTTGTCCCTGCAGTAAGTTAAGGCATGAGAATATTTTATCTGCAGAGCAAGCTGTTCCTCCCTAACCTAACATGTGAGGGCTTAAGGGGTTTTGTTACCATAGTATGATAATAACAACTACCTGAGGTTAAAACACAGTTTGTTTTGGTTATTCCTTTTGTGTTATTCTTTTATCTTGTTCTCTTCTTGTGACTCTCAAAACTGAAGCCCATTGTTGTTGTAACTGTAAATGTTTTGTTTCTATAACTGTATATCATTCTTTTATGATAATCATGGGCTAAGTGAAACTTAAGTGCCTGTCTCTTGCCAGTTTGTACAGTTTCCACAGCTTTTGTGGTCGTGGAGAGGAATGGCTTTGAGGGTGTTCTTCTCTTTCAATCTGAAATTGGATTTTTTTGCAAACTGATTATGTAGCAGAAGTCCTTGAGGGTAACAGGTGGTATCCTCTGCTCTTTTCTCCTCCCCCTAGGTACCTTCATTCAAATAACATAGTTGTTGTACCTGAAGGTAAGTAACCTACCAGCTCACAATAAGTGGCAGGAATCATAAAATATTCATTTTTCTCTGAAGAGGCATATTTTTCTTTGTTTTTCCCATAAAACATTTTAGATTATCATATAAAATATACTCGTGTAGCCCTTAGTCAGTAATATCCTTGTTTATGGTATGTTAAATTCTTTTAATGAGTTCTCAAATGTACCTAAATGCTCTTTGCTTCAGTTCTAATTGCAGAAAGTGAAAAGTCTAAATGGCACTTGTCTACAGAAACACAACTAGAGTGAGTGTATTCTGCTTTGAGACTGTTACCACATAGAATAGTCTACTGCTTTTGTTCATGAAACATTTAAACCCTGAAGTCTCAAAAAACTTGTCTTAGCTTCTGTTCCTTGATGTAATTGTAGAGTTGTGTTCAGCATCATAAAAGCACTTTAAGCTCTGTCTGAATATATATAATTTGGAAAGATTCAGAGCAGAGAAATTGAAAAACAATTTCAGGGCAGAATTCTCTGAGGAAAATACATCGATATGGGAGTATCCTGTGTATTTTTTTTCCTCCCCAACTCATTGCCAGCAATACTGTATGTTAGCTAGATAAGCGTGTCCATAAACTCTGACATTCAGTTACGAGGCAGACTTCAGTACGTCACAATCTGCTCAGATGTAGGTATTGGGCCTTGCGGCTTTTTATCCTCTCCTAGTCCTATTAAGATTTTAACTTTACTCTTGGGTCACATTCATGTTTTAATCTGTTCTCTCACAAGCCATTGGCTCCCTCGTTAAACTGCAGTTTCTGGACCTAAGTGATAATGCCCTCGAAATCGTGTGCCCGGAGATTGGCCGCCTGAGATCGTTACGTCATCTTCGTTTGGCTAACAACCAGCTGAAATATTTACCTGCAGGTAAGTACAAACCTGTGAGGGACTGCAGCAATGACCATTCCATTTGAATTTAATTTGCACACTGCTCTGCTCTAGGTTTTTTATCTATTCTTCCAGTAAAGCTTGCCTTTAAAGACCAATTGGGGATTGCCAATATACTATTTTGTGCTAAATGTACTCTATATTAAAAAAAGCAGTAAGCCATGCTGTATTGACTTGAGGTAAAGTCCTGAGAAATGCTTCTGAAGGAAAAAGTGCATCTATTTAACGGTTTTTGCCATTGTATTAAGAAAAGTCAAACAACCCAGAGAAAACACAAAATGCTAGTGACAAATGTCATGTTGATAAAATGATATTTGTTCTAATTTTACAAAATGTAGGAAATCTACAGTCTCCCCTCTGTCTTTTAGGGCAATTACCCTATACTCGTATTTCCTTTAGTTTTTTTTTCTTTTTTTTTTTTTTTTTAAAGAAATATCCAGTAGGTTTGCTTGTGGCATTCCACCTCAATGTCGCATCAGATAACAAATGTTGGTCATACTATTTTATAATTAAAAAAGAAAACACAAAAATTATTCAAAGCAATTGTGAAACAAATTAATGATTCTTTTTGATAAGCAGAAATAACTGATTCTCCTTTTTTCATCTCCTGTTTGTCCTTCCTCATGAGGAGGAGGAGATGATGATGATGATTGTTGTTTAAATTTTGCTCTGGGTGTTTTTGTTTTCTGATCTGCACATGATAAAAAATGTAAGGTCAGCAATTCAAAAAAAAGTGGACTAACTTAATCTAGCAGGATTAGCTTTTGGCTCTGTTTTTAAATAAATTCTCAATCTGACCTTCATTTGTTTATAAATTCACATTGTGTATTCTTAAGAAATGTTTTGTAGTTGTTTCATGAAGTTCTGGGTGCAGAAATGGAGCTGTCCTTTCCTTGTACTTTCCTGAGCATAATAAGCTTTGTAGAACAATTCAAAGAATGATTATGATTAGAAAGAAAAAAAAATTATATGACGATGTAAATCCTCTGGAATGAAATTAGATAAACCTGTTAAACATTATGACCCAAAGCCAGTAAAATTTCCATCAAGTTTCAGATGTCCTATATTCAAAAGAAAAGAGTGACTTGAGTGTGCTTTATGTTCCTCAAAGATAATTTACCTTATGGTGCTGTTTCATGAAAGAAAGATTTGTTCAAAGAAAAAGTGACACATTTTTTTTTTTGCAAAACTTCACACATTAACTTAAAAAGGTTAAAAAAAAACTACTTTCAGAAAAAAAAATTATATGACGATGTAAATCCTCTGGAATGAAATTAGATAAACCTGTTAAACATTATGACCCAAAGCCAGTAAAATTTCCATCAAATTTCAGATGTCCTATATTCAAAAGAAAAGAGTGACTTGAGTGTGCTTTATGTTCCTCAAAGATAATTTACCTTATGGTGCTGTTTCATGAAAGAAAGATTTGTTCAAAGAAAAAGTGACACATTTTTTTTTGCAAAACTTCACACATTAACTTAAAAAGGTTCCAAAAAAGACTACTTTCAAAAGGATAATTTACATTACTGAAGAGTTGATTGTGAGTCTACCACATTTGATCAGGAACTGGTATTAGCTGCATAGGCAAGCTGCATTTATTTTATCCTGAAGACAACTTGGTAGTAAAGCATCTTGCATAAGTGAAATTATCAGGCATGCAGAACTCTAAATGCATTTTTGGAAGTAGTTCCACTGTAGCCTGCTTTGAAATCAAAGACTCCACTGGTGTCCGATCTGTGTTGCTGGCAGTGTACAGCACTTTATATTTTTATATATATATATCTATACATATATATATATACACACACTATTATTGATATCATTGCTAATCCTACTGTCACTTGCCATCATGAACAGACATTGTGCAGCTTGTGTATTATCAGTCCAAGCAAGATTAATCTTTCATTCATGCTAGAGAATTTGCCCAGCTCAAATAATTGCGTTGTCTGTTTCCTAAACTTATCACTTCCAAGGATATTTTAATAGTTCGTTGTTGTTGTTGTTTTTCTTTGTGGAGATTTTGAAAATCTCTTTATAACAAAGTGTTGAGGTATGAAAATACATTTCATCAATGGAGGAGGAGAGAAAAAAAGGAAATAATAAGTTTTGTTACCTTATTGGAAATACCTTTATCTTCAGTTACACTGACAGTGTCAGTCTTCGTAAGGTATTAAATAGTATTCTGTGAGGAAAACTAGCAAGGTTAATAAAAGGAAGCAGTCAGAGATGTAATTACACTGCAGTGCGTTACGATGTGTCATTGTGAGCTTCCTTCTTCATGGTGGGTACTGCATCGCAGTGCATTTAGGGATGTAGAGCACAGTAGAGGATCCAGTTAAGAAAAGCTGATCATCATTCACCTTGTGTAACCAGTTAGACCAACCTGCAGCACAGTGATGTCATGGATAAGATGCTTATTTCAGTGCTGTTGACCTGTCATTCCTCCTCGTTGTCACTTCCCGTTGCCAGGTTTTCTAAGTCCCTCCAGGTTCTGTTGAAACTGCATGGAGATCTAGGAGAGTATTAACCTTCGGATAGTGTCCTTAAGGAACTGATCAAAAAAAATTGTTAAAATTGAAGAAGAATTGGATGGTAAAAATTCTTGGATGTTCAGATGCTTAATGGCATTTCCTCTTGTATTGCGTACTTTGAGAATTTTTTTTTTGCAGCTGCTTTTAATTGTAATTGATTCAGAACTGAAATAAATGATGCGGTAGCATCATTTGCTGTTAATATTCATTAACTATTTTAATGTTTTGTTCCACAATTGTGCTTTTAACATTTGATATTAATATTTAAGATTTGGCTTACAGAAATCTAACATAGATTTATTTTAAAACAATTGAAATAATATGCTTAATCAATCATTTTAAAAATATAAATCTTAAATTTGACTGTAGATATTCTTCAGTCTTTAACAAAAGTTGAGCCTGTGCTGTGGTTTTCCTTTAATATCTTGGGCATTAAAATTTTACCTTAATATCCCTTATTTATCCCTTTATTCATAAAACTTGTGAGAATTAAATAACATGAGCTCTATGCTTTTCTCAGGTTTGATCCAGCTTGCACGAAAAGTTAGTTTGGGAGAGTAGATAGGAGAAAGTAATAAGAACACATGCAAACAGCATGAATGCATAAACCTTAGTTTCCTGAAGAAATTGGGAGGTGAGGCATGAAATTGTGTTCCTTGGAATTTAGAGAGCACTTGCTATGCTGTGGCACTGCTGCAGTGTAAATAATGATCCTACCTTTGTGCTTAGCAAACACTACCGAATCAGTGTCACCCATTGATAAGATCATGTACTTTGGCCACAGGGTACCTTGTTTAATTGCACATCAGTACTGAAGCAATGTGATTTCCTTTATACATCTTTAAAACGTCACAAGAGATGTTGAAAGACGACTAGACTAGAAGTGTTGAGAACCAATAGGAAAATATTGTTCAAAATGAGACAACTGAGACGTAGTATAAAATGTCTGGAGGAAAATGCAATTCCTTTAAAGTCATGTTTTGAATATATTTTGGATAAGATTAGTAAGACTTCTGCCTATCAGTGTCTACATTCTGTTGCAATCAAAATCATTAACTGACAAACTATGTTTCCAGGAGTTGTGGACCGGTGAAAAGAAATAAATATTATATGAGATTTAATATTTGTAAAGTTCTCTTTTTTCATTAAAATGCACAGCATTTTTTTTTAATCTGTAAATTGTAAATCTTATAGCTTCTGTACTTTAACAACCTATTAGTTCTTTTGTTTGGCTCTGCTTCACAGAGTTCTTGAATATCAAGTAAACTTTCTCTGAAGCCTTCTACTATTCAACTGTATCACTTAATCCACTAAATTCTTTAGGCCCATTGGGAGATGTATAATGCCAGATACCTTTCTTGAAAAATCTTACAATTGCAGCAGTAAGAAAATACGGTTATTTTATATCATGACTGTAGAACATGTAGAAGCTTGATTTACAGAGCTGATGTTACATTTTTATAATTATTTTTACAGAGATTTTTCTTAAGTTAAAATGTTGATATCTGTTATTTAATTGAGAATTGTCTTAGTCCTATTCAAATGTCTTTCCACAAGTAAATTTTCGGAATCCTCTATCTTATAAATGACTAATTAGAAAGTTTCTTTTGATTTCTGATATTTGTAATGTGTATGTAATAGGTCAACTCATACTTAGAGAGAAAATAAATATAATTTGTATGAAAATTGTTGTAAAAATGTACTGAAAAAATAACTTTTCAGGAGCCCCAAAGCCAAGATTATCCCTTGGTTTTGCTATGTTAGTTAGACATGGTTTTGACTTTATTCTCAATCTTTTGATATGAACTGATGGCTCTTCAGGGTTTATATCTCTATTTTGAAATTAGTAAATGCTCTTTTGGACAACTTGAAGGTACTCAAAGTTGGATTTAAGCTTTCTGTTTGACGAAGATTAGAGTTTTTATTGCATGTTACTTGATATACATACTTCTTAGGATGGCAAGTTGTAGCATTTTGTTCTAAGATTTAATTAAAAATGAGGTTATGTTTACTCAGCACATGTTGAAGTTAATTATAGATTTACTAAGATGAAAAGCTTAATGTTTTGCCAAGTTAAGAGCGAAAGCTAAGTAATTAAACAAAGAATAGGGTATGGTTTATAATCCCAGCCCATCTTTTGGCAAAGCTCCCATTATGAAAGAAAAAAATATATATATCAGCAGTTGTCTTTCTGTGGGCTAGACCAAGTTTTCCTTGTGTTTGTTTTCAGGGAAATTTAAAAGCTAAGAGCTGGGTGCATTGATTGGAGACGAATTATATCTATAGATGTTTGGTATCATATGACTGCCTGTGTGATGCTGTTTCCTTGATATGTGAATTGAAACTGCAGTTGACCAGAAAGTCCCAGCAACTGCTGTGGCTGAAGAGAGGGACAGATCTCTCTGCAGGAGTCAATTGCAAGTTTAGCAAATGCCCTTTCTTCCCTCT